ACAAGTCCACGTTTTTCCCCCACTTCATGGCTGATGGAACAAGTCCACGTTTTTCCCCCACTTCATGGCTGATGGAACAAGTCCACGTTTTTTCCCCCACTTCATGGTTGATGGAACTAGTTCACTTTCTTCCCCCACTTCATGGCTGATGGAATTAGTTCACTTATTTCCCCCACTTCATGGTTGATGGAACTAGTTCACTTTCTTCCCCCACTTCATGGTTGATAGAACAAGTCCGCGTTTTTCTCCCACCTAACGTAGAACTTATTCACTTGTCTTTCTTTCCGTCTAATTTATTTTCATGACTCTTCGACAAATCCACATTTAAAAACTTTCCACTCTCCTTTTGTCTTCATTACATATTGCCCACGTTGACACGCTCCAGACTTTAGACAATTACAATTTTAGACAACAGCGGGTTATGTGAATAATATACAAGAACGTCATAGACAAGCATACATTTATATCATATAACATAATTTCTTCAGTTTCTTACTTACAAAGTAATGTGATAAACTCGCATTATCCCATGTAGATGTTCTTAATACTGTAGTGAAATATATGGTGAATACTATAACCATGCTAATAATACCTGGTGAATACTATAATCGTGCTAATAATATCTGGTGAATACTATAATCGTGCTAATTACACCTGGTGAATACTATAAGCGTGCTAATAATACCTGGTGAATAATATAATCGTGCTAATAATACCTGGTGAATACTATAATCGTGCTAATTACACCTGGTGAATACTATAAGCATGCTAATAATACCTGGTGAATAATATAACTGTACTAATAAAACCTGGTGAATAATATAACTGTACTAATAAAACCTGGTGAATACTATCATATTGCTAAGAGATTAGTATTTTGTGAAACAAACAGTTCGAAATTACAGAGACAAACTGGTAATAATTAAATATATGTATAGAAAATTTTATCATTTTTAAATCTCAGTTTAAAAATATGACTGTCGGAAACCCAAAATGTTTTTGTTTAGTGTTAATTTCTTGTAAACTGGACAAAGGAAGATTTTGTACAGCAAAATAAAATAGTTTAAAACCCTCAAGCAAACATTTAACTAATTTCAAACTACATTGTTTTTTTGTATGTGTGGAAACATTTGTGAAACTTTACTGAGAAAAAATCATTAATTGAAGTTTTTCTTTCAGATAAGGACCTTCTCTTACTGTTGGATGATAGTAAAATTAAAGGATGACTCAATCTTTCTTGCTTGATATATAACTCTGTTTGAATGTATTTTTAGAATGTAAAATCGTTTTCTAAAGCATATTCGTGTGCAAATTCAATATTACTGTTTTCGGCCATTGACAATTCCTGTTTCTTTTCTTCCATAAAATATAATTCTCTCAATTTTTCAGTCATGTGCGGTCTCTCTGCTGAACAATTCCGATTTATCTGTCAAGTTTGTGGCATGCTACTTTAACGACCCCTATTCACCGAATAGAGTATTACAGGTAAAATAATATTTGAATATCATGAACAATGTCAAAGTTTTAATGCAAAATAATGCCATTTAAAATACTTTTGTTCGAGTGTGTTTTTTGTCGTTAAAGAATAAACAGTTCTTACACAATATTATATTGACCCCCTCTCTAAAACTTTTATTAGTGCTCTCAAAGATTTGGAATTAACTACAATTCCATTCACCAATGTGCTACATCGAAAACTGGTTTTCAATATTTTCATCAGATGGGAGAGAAGACACGACGGCTCAGTCCTTCACTGTACTTCATCCCGTGGGTGGTTATCAATGGGGTAAGGATAGAAAGTATATCTTAATTATATAAAATTCAAATACTTAAAAACAAGTATGCATATGTATATAGTTATGTAAACGAAGACTTTATTGAATTGCCAAATAATAAATACTAGCAGAGATCCGCAAAACATTTCCAGCCAAATTAGTATCTTTATCGTAACAGCACTTCTTTAAATATAACATTTCTAGCACAATACGAAATGTGTAAATCCACT